TTAATCAATGATTATAAAGAAATTTTCAACAATTTTGTTTCACTTTCAGGATATAAAGATAGGATTGATAAGAAATATTGGTCGGTACATGTCAACGTCTATTTTGAGTGCAACTCTGATCACAGGGATGATATGGTTAGTAAAAAGTTCTCTTTGATAATAAATCATAAACAACGCTTAATACAAAAAAAATAACTTTTACATGTGTTTTTAGATCCTTCTGCAATTTGGGGAGCAATCTTACTTGAATCAGTCTGTCTACGTAAAACACGCTTGTTCAAGAAAAAGACCACAAAATTTCACTCATTTCGTTGAAAATAATAAGAATAGCGTAAGAGAAGCAATTACAAAATGCCTTGAAGAACCTCTTTATAAATTTCTTGAAAAACTGAAAAGAGTATTGGAAGTTTCAAGTGCATTTTATAAGGATCCGAAGAAGCAACATCCTTAATGAAGTTATTGAAAAGATGGGATACCAGCAACGATATGTCTGTTTCTTATCAGCAACAAAATCATATGCATAAAGTTCCATTGGAAATACATAATTATTTAATTAGGTAATGTGATACTTGTATTCATCTAATGAAAAAATTAAAGCTGCAAATAATTTCCTCTCAATCATTATGTTTTATAAATATTATAATATTATTTTTGTTTAATACAGAAAACATGGTGTGAATGCTTTTGGATATTGGAGAAACAGAAAGTTTAAAATTTTTATCGAAAAGGCATTAGAAAAAAAAAGAGCTTGAAGAAGAATTACTGAAAATTTACAAAGATTTTCTTTGCAGTGTCGAACTGCAAATTCTTGCTAAAAATATTCATTTTCAACCTTATTTGAAACAAGGAGACAAAATATTTTACGATAATGGTATCACAATTAAATCAGAATTCATTTCACATGCTACTTTAGGTGCCATGATGAGAAATCAGGTTTCAGTTGATGATTTCTATATTTTAACGTGTGGACATGTTTTCCCACGTATTCACATGTGTGCCTATGGCACGCTGAATGAACATTCCGTGTCATCTCAAATCGGATCTTGTATATTTACTAGTCTTCCTGGGGAAGAACATTTTATTGATTTTTCTGTTGTACAGGTTTCTAAAGATGTTCAAAAATATTGCGAAGTTGTTTTTATGCGTTCCGAGAATCAAAAATGCAATGCAATAGTATACAAAGAACCCTTTGAGAACACAATAGACTATGTTCACAAAAATGGTGCATCGTCAGGATGGACAGACGGTCGCATTCAATGTACCAGCTTTGTGGCAAAAATGTTTGGCAACAGGAGAGATGTGTTTCTTGTTCTGGGAAAAGGTGGGATATTTTGTGAGCCTGGGGATAGTGGGTCCATAGTTTTTGCTCCTGACAATTCAGCTGATCAAGAAAAGGTTCATATTCTTGGTATGCTTATGGGAAGCATGCAAGACTCCAATTCGGACGATAATAGTGATTCCGATTCCACGACGGAGGTCACTCATGCTAACGACTCTCAATCAGAAGAAAGACCAGAAGTGGTGGAAGACAAAAAAGGGGGATTTGCAACTTCAGGCAGTTTTGATCGTAAAGACGACGATTCGAGTGAAATGACCTACACTGAATTGGCTGTTTGTTTCCGATTGGACCCTGCTCTACAGCTACTGAAAGAAAAGAAAAATCTAGATGTTGAGTTTGAAAAAGTTTCATTTTCTTCAGATGAAAGTGACTGATTTGGGGAGAAATTGGAACTTAATTTAACATATTCGATATTCTGTATCCAAGTGACTTTTTGAGAATCAGAATTTTCTAATAAAATGAAACTTTAAAGCTAGACTGTTATTTCTAGCAATTAATTCGTATTTCAAAACAATCAGAAATATTTTTGGCTTTAGTGTGAACTCAAAAACATGTACCATGCACAAATATTTACATTTCAATCTGTTTCTCTGTGACAATTCTTTGAAAGTTAGGTGTGTTAATTTCTCGATAATTACAAGTGAATGTAAAAAGTCAGGTGCCAGGTATGCATGTCAATCTCTCAGGGCTATATTTGTGTCTGACGTCAGTGGGCGGGGACAATGGAAATCAGATGTGGATTCTTAAATCCTCCAAAGATCTTGTACAATTTTTTTCCAACTTTAAGTTAGCTTTCCCAACTTTAATCTTGATTTCGTAATTGGCTTTTCTAGCTTTGTACGGCTTTATGCGTTATATTCAGATACATGTACTTTGTAGCTGGACTCGTGTTGCTATTTTATACATGTAAGTACAATGGAAAGAAACGATTTAATTATAAAATTATGATGAAAGAAGAAGTATTTCTTTGTGTTTTCGCGTACAGAATTGATACATTTAGTTCAGTTTTATTTGTAGCATGTAATATAGTGTTGATCCATCCTCTATATTAAACACCAAATATTTGTTTAAGCTTATTCTCTCATACAATACAAAATATATATCTGATCTCTTAAATAGGTTTGGTTGAAATACTATCATGTACGGAGTTGTATGAAGTTATTCTCTGTATGATTATATAAGATGAACCCAAAAATTTATAAGGGTTTTCAAAGTTGGAAGTTATATGTAAGGTCAGAGGGAAGGTCAAGTTAAAAAATAATTGTCACAGATTAAATGCTCACCAATCTATTTTAGTGTATTAATTTTGAATTAATAAAGTTGGTAAAAATTTAAAATAAAGGAAAAAGGCTAAAGAAAAGGGCAAAAGCTCAAATTCAAAGTTGGAAAAGCCAAGATTAAAGTTGGAATTACCAAGTTTAAAGTTGGAAAAGCCAACTACCAACTTTAAAGTTGGAAAAGCCAAATTTAAAGTTGGAAAAGCCAAGATTAAAGCTGGAATTAACAACGTTAAAGTTGGAATTTCCAACTTTTAAGTTGGAAAAGCCAACTCTAAAGTTGGAATAACCAACTTTTAAAAAAAAAATTTTACGTGGCACAAATACGCTTCCGTATCTAACAAGAAACGGCGTAACCAAAATTAATTTACACCTATCAAAACTCATTATCAAAATCACAAGTTAATCGGACACAGTCGAATATTTAGAGGAAAATTGCAGCATGAGCTATGGCTTGGATTTTTTGCAGTCACAATTTACAGAATCCATAGAAAACCAAATAAAGGTTGAAGATGCTTTTGAAAATATGGGACTCGATCAATCTACCGAAACTTAAAAATGAACCTGTCATGGATTTCGATATAGGATATATCTTAGACATGATGGAGACTAACTTGATTCATGCATTCTTATGACAAATCTTAATCACAGAAACATATATCATTATATGTCTCATAAAACTACAATAGTTATAGAAATACTGGTTACACAGTTTAATTTGTTCTACATGCATGTAACGTCGTATTGATACTGTGTACAACGAATGAAATAACAAAGTTATTACCTTTATACATACAGGTATGAAAGCACTAGCGATATTCCAGGAATATTATTCTGAACAATTACAGATATTTGATATTCACTCATAACTTCCTTTGACCGTTTAACCAATGAAAAAAGGTGCAAATAACCAACAGTGATTAAACTCTGAAATCCTGTAAACAGCACGAAAGGTGAACAGTAGAAAACACAAACCCCCGGACACAACATAAAGGATTCGGTGTCTAGAAGGAGTAAGCATCCCCTGTCGACAGGTCACACCCACCGTTAACCTCTTGTCATGGTTAAACGGATCTTTTTTTAAGATTCTACATTTGATTTATACCACTCTCTGAAGATGCTATAGCACAGACCTTTCTTCGACTCGGGAGTCAATTTTTGCGAGTACAGTTAGGGCTTGGGAGAACATTTACTAGACCATGCAATATTTTTTGTTTGGTTGGTTGTTTTTTGTTTTTTTTTTGGGGGGGGGGGGGGGGAAGGATTTTTTATAAAGTTTTGGAAACCAGTATAGGTTACGGTAACTCCAACTCACTTCCGTTGACTGAAATGTTAAAAGTATTAAAAATGAAAGGTGATTTTCAAGAATTCCCTCGCTTGAAAGGGATCTGTATAAGTTGGTTTAATATGTGCAGTAAGCGAGAGAAAAAAAATCAAAACTCTTGTATCCACTTATTAGTATTATGTACGACTTTGTAATATCCGAGTTGGTGAAATATCTTTCTTTTATATGTAGTGACTACGATAGAAATATGAAAAAAGTTTCACATTAAGCGTTTAATCATGTTTGAAAAAGATGAAATATCATCAATGCAAAGCTTTATCAAAGTCAGACTCACAGGTTGACACCTGCATGAATGCTTACCCAGATTATTTATTTGGAAATTTAATAGATCAAGTGCAACATTCATTACAAGATATTGGCATGCAACAGAAGATTCGCTGTCTTAATACATGTGGTTGATGTATGCCAGAGAAAAAAAAGTGATCTTCGAACCAACAGTTGCAGCAGGGTGAATTCTGTTTTTGTTTGTTTGTTTGTTTTGTTTTGTTTTGTTTTGTTTTTTTTTTTGTTTTGTTTTGTTTTGTTTTTTTTTTTAAATTCGATATCTTGTTTAAGACATCAATACTCTAACTGCAGCACTTAAATAATTTTCATCTAGGTATGGTTTATAGGTACAGATGAAGTTGTATAATAGGTAGAATCCCAAATGGAAACGGAGAAGCATCCTAATTTCTTTACTTCATACAAGTTAGTCACTTATCAGGAGAAAACCATCTTATGATTTCACCGAGACTTAAGGTTCATAAACCCTCTGCTCACTCATATAAAATGTTTCTTCAACTCTTATGATTTTCCAAAAGAAATGCATTTGTTAAGTAAAATACAAACAATAATAGCACATCTTGCGAGGCAAAATTGGACAAAAAACACATTTCAACTTCACAAATTTATAAAGGAATAATAGATATTTACGTCATTAAGAGTTATCTCTCTCATCAGAGTGTCGATGAACCTTAATAATCAAATCTCAGAAGAGTATCTGTAAAAGTAGTTGGCGTAACCTGCCTTCATTGCAATAAAAAACCACAATAACACAGCATTCACATTAGCAAATGTATTTATTTAACAGACAAAAAAAATATCACAGTATTTAGATGTTTTATGGTTATTTATATCAATAATAGTTCATCAAGGCATGGCAAGGTCATAAAGAGTAAGACTTCTTATGAAGTTTCCTAGAGTCAAACAACCACAAAATCCAACAATATGTTGTATGAAATTAACATCGTTATATATAGTGGATATTTTACTCCTAGTTAAACATTCATCATGAATCTTGAAAAGTCAGTGATTGTGAATTAATAAAAAAATCTTTTAAGGTGAAATTGGTGTGGATTTCAATATCACAGATTCTAGATTAAAAAAAAAAGAGACACATAATCAAGCGAAATAATAATAATAAAATGGATATAAAATATTAATAAATATAACATATGCAAAAATTCTTCAAAATGTTTTAAAAAATTGTCACAAAACTTGTACAAATATTTTTTTACTATGAAAAATTCTTGAAATACTGATAAGAAAAAAAATACTTCATTATAATATCAAGTTAGTCAAAAAATATTGGTTTTCTCAGGTTTGTTTTGTGACATTGTACATGTATTCAAAAAAAATGTTCAGTATAAAAGTTGACTTAAACTAAGTATTGAATGGACGGTTCTTTTCAAAATTGAAAGGTTATTTAGCAAAAAAATTCATATCTTTAAGAAAAACAAGGAGGTTTAACCTGCATACAAACCACTGAAAACATTAACATAGAAAGCACTATTAAAATCTTTCAAGACCAGATTCTCTTACAACTCAGATTTTCTTTTATTAACATATTTAACAAACAAACAAACAAACATCTTCATTCCAGAAAAAAAGCAATTTAACCTTGACTTTTTATATTTGACTTTTAAGGACAATGTCTATTAATTGCTAATTAACAATCTTGCTAAATATGTCAATCAAAAAACAAACTCCAAAAAATCTTGATCTAGCCATGCCTATTTCACATTACTCACATCAAAGTTGTACTATTAGGTCATGCTTGCCAAAAAATCAATTAATCATCCACATTAAATTATTCTCCAGAAAGAATATTATCCTTCATCATCTAAAACAGTCCATCACGTCTGAAAGGCAGCTTCTATAATTGCTGGACTTACAGCAAAGTTCCAAAGAAAAAAGAAGCCTCAGATCCATTCCTTTCAGATTTAAGATGCTAATTAGTACATGTTAATTGTCTATTTTAGTCTATTTCAGTGGTGAGATAACCTCCCTGATGTGGTTTTGGGGGGTTGGAGATCCTCTTAATGATGACCCTGGAGGGCTCCTAGGGGGTTCTACAAAACAAAACAAAAATCAAGTAATTTACGTGCTAGGCAATGGTCACTGATCACAAATCTTGACCAACCACTTAAAAATAGAGGCTATCTTACATGCTTTAAAGAAAAGAGGCAACACATTTTGATGATATTTTGGAGATATAACACTTACCTTTAAAGGGTCCCTGTTCTGTTGTGTCTTGAGTGGAGATAGGAGGTAAGGGCGGTGTGCTGGGGATGGAATGTCGGGTTGACATCTCAGACTCTGTGAGCCGTACTCGCTTGTTCCCAGCACTGTTGGAGGTGATTGAACGAGATACAGGGGTAGTTGTTGGAACTTCCTTTGTACCTGGAGAACATGATTGCTTAGTTAATGATTTTATATCCACTACTTTATAATTTTACTGACATATCTTGAAATTGTACCATTGCTTTCTTTCCAAAATTCACTGGAGATCAATGAAAAGTTGCATTTTATACAAATTATTTCAAAAAAGTAACTAATTAAAATCTGATCTGAAATTTCAAAATCTAGGTACAAATGACTTACCAGTAAATGACCTTGGCCGTGTGGAGTTGACCATTGGTCGGTTGACAGTGACGTAAGATCTTAAGTTATTCTGTGAGGCATTTATCAACCTGTCGTCTGTTAGCCCTGGGGACCCATACTTAGAGCTGCAGATATAACATGGATTCCAATTCAATTCAAGGTTATCTGATTTTGATTGTATTTTTAAGTTTGTTAAAATATGTACAATTTTATTCATTTAATTTAATAAGTTTTAGCTCAAGACTTTGCATAACCAGCAATCAATGCTTTCACTTTGAAAGACTTGCAACTTAAGAATGACCAATCAGAATCTTTTGGACATTACCTTATAGTATTTTGACCAATCAGCATTCTGTTTATATCCAGCTCTAGGATTCTTGGAGTGTTCATGGCATTCACATCAGAAGGGTCACCCCTAGCCAAAGATGTATTCATCTGAAAATAATGAAAGGAAAAACATGTTCAATATGTATGTAATTGATGTCAAGCAGGTCACAGTGTAGATATTTGTGCTCTTCCACTAGAAAAATGTACCTCATTCCTAATTTTAAAGAATCTTAAAAGGAAATGATTGGAAAATTAATGTAAATACAGTCAAACCTCGTTATCTCGAACTTGAGGGGACCAAGAAAAAATTGAGGATAAAATTCTTAAAGAATATGTGGTTTGGACTTCCAATCACTTTGACATATCAATGGCATTCAAGTTATCGGTGTTCGAGATACCGAAGTTCAACGTGAACAATTAATGACTCAATCCATTCCTATCTTACATTCCATGTCTGTCGTTGTACCGCGGTGTTGTAATTAGCCAGGGCCGGAGAGCCCATCAATCCCGTCTCATCCCCCTCCAGGGGGCGGGGAATCTCCCTCCTAAAAAATGCCTGCTGTGGGGGATCAGTGGTCTAGGAAGGAGAAATAAAAATTAATAATTATGTCATCAGATCTGTAGATGAGCAAATGGAATTCAAAGTATTTACTTCCTTTAGAAATGCAAGGTTAACAATGCAAGGGGATTTTCTTTAAAGTTATAATTAGACCTGATCATAAATCATGTGACATAATTCTGAATTATAAGACTTGAATTCCTGATATTTCTTTAAAAAAAAAAACTTAATACATTTTCATTTTTATACATGTATCTAATTTGTTTCTTTTTTATTTCATTTCAGTGTGTATGTATTCCTTATCTGTTATATTTGACCTTATGACCTTACCTGTTGTATTTGTCGAGTAAGACCTCTGATGTTGGAGGCTGGGGTGGGAGCAGGAGCAAAAGAGCTGAACTCTCTTGAGGGGGAGATTACTCTGTGGGGTCGAGTGGGACGACTCAGTTTACTGGCATACCTTTCCTTAATCTCTCTGTAAGCAGCAGAACATATTAAATTTATGTCAGATTTCTCCATGTGTTATGGAATACATAAAATTACTTTTAAAAATTCCTCATTTGTTTCATAAAATTTCTCCATGTGTTACCATGTAGAATAAAAAAGCATTGAATTTTAAACTACTAACAGATTTCTTTATTTTTTCATTTTATTTCACGACAACCAAATAATGACTTGTTCAAGCACCTATCGATTAAGTTTTACAAAACTTACAATATAAAACACACAATACTACAAAATTCTTGTTTCAGTTTATGGTTTTACAATGTTACAGGTTCTATATACATGTACATTTTTCTAAATAATAAATATAATAACAGTTGATACAAACAGTAATACATGTATTTGATTGCCATGCAATGGAATCACTGATATGTGCCACATTAGTTCTTGGTAATGCCATTGTTGACTGAATAAATGGAATCATTAGGTGCATTAACATGCATGAATTACAAACAGATTAATATTCTTTCGTAAGAAAATGAAATGTGTATAAAAATGCAGATAACATGTACTGTTTGTTTTTTATGACTTTTTTTCTTTTTTGTTGAAAAAAAGTGACATTCGATATGAATCATGCCTGTGATATAACTTCACATTATGTGTACATATTGTCATCGTTGTGCTACATTCTTCAAATACAAAATGTGTATATATGCTTTTGTCATTTTTGTGATGCAAACTACAGATAAACATTTCTGCTTCACAGTGATTACCGTTCCAAATTCAGGACTCCTACAGTGTATCTGTGCAATTTCAAATTCAAATTTTATATTTTTTTAAAATAATCATTATGTGATAATAAGCCTAGTGTTTACAGAATATCTTATATATATATTTTTATTATATTTAATGAAATAACATGAAAATATTATTCATACATGAATAAATGGCATTTTTGTTAGAATCAAAAGCATTTAATTAACTGATACATGATATTTTAATTTATTCATGCATCTTACGCCAATAGTTCAGTGTAATCGACATCTAAAGGACTGCGTCAACAAAAAAAATGTGAAGAGATAATCCCTAATACTTCATACAGCCATTATACAACATAAATAATTAATCATTAAACAATTGTTTTATTCATTGATTAAATTATATGTACATGTAGGCACAAGTACAACGTTAATTTAACAGAATTTATAATCATTATTTTCTCGTTTCAGAAAACATTATTTTATCATAATTTACAACATGACAAAGAATTAGGTACCAAAGTTTTTGTAACTCCAATTGTGATTTTTTTTTTTTTAGAATTCTATATTTCACAGCTAGCAATTATAACTGTTACAATCTCTTTTGTATTAAATGCATTTTCCTTTCACCAGACCCCCCCCCCCCCTTGTTTGAGCATTATGCTTTTCCAACTACCTCCCTTGAACCAGTGAATATGAATTAAAGTGATTCTACTTACCTCCCCCTGTAAGAGTACATGGGTTTGATAAGGAATATTCCAGATTCCTGCTCTATTGAGTCTAATGTCTCCATCAAAAGGTTGGCAAGACGTAAACGCTCCGACCCCATACCATCCATTTTGTCTGCCCATCTCTTAGCCCTCTGTAAAAATAGGATTGGTCAAATAATGCAATCTGTGCAATAATCAACATACAGTCAAACCTCATTATCTCGAACTCGATGGGACAAAGAAAATACTTCAAGATACCTGAGGATTCGAGATATCAAGGCTAAAATACTTATGGAATAAGGGATTGGGGCTTCAAATTCACTTCGACATGTCTATGGTATTCAAGATATTATTGTTTGAGATATCAGTGTTCGAGATATGATGTTCGAGATACATCGATGTTCGAGATACCGATGTTCACATATAGTTGATAGTGTTATATAATTTTTTGATTACTTGGAAAATTAAATGTCATTTGCATTAATTTTATCATTACATTGTATTTTAGTGGGTTTAGATATTGCTCTTTATGCAGGGTAGAGTAATGCCTACCTTATTTTGCAGACCTTCCATTTTGTCCAAAATTTCGAAAACATTTTCATCCAAACTTTTACTCTGCTTGACATGCTCTGGAAAACAATACAATATTTTCCACTCAGTGCATCATCACTCAGTTTTTTTTTCTCTACAAGGTCCTTTTTTTTAATTAACTGCAAGATTTTAACATAGCATATTTCTGTGTCTAAACAGACTGCTAGTGGTTTCTATCTTACACCTTGGTTCCTTTTTACCAAAATTCTATATATCCTTGGATCAATTTCCAAATTGTGAACTCTACATTAATTTCCAAAATCAAAATAGAAAATTAAGTACCTTGCACTTTGTGTTTGACAAATGTCAAGTTTACATATGAACACTTAATGATGACCAGTTATAATTAAGAATCATCTTTACTTTCACTTCTCCTGATCAGGATCCTCTTTACTTTCACTTCTCCTGTTGAGAGATCATCTTTACTTTCACTTTAGATTTACTCATTATTGAGATGGGACATTTTACCTTCAATTTCCTTCATCCTGCTGTGATGGACATACTTCCTGACAAGGTGACCCAGTCTTTTGGCCGGAAGACTCACATACTCATCCATGGTAGTTACAGCATCCTATAAAATAAATATAGGATCTCCCATGATTTGTAGTTGGATATGATTTTTATCCAACGAGTTGTGTGTTTTTTATCCCCGAGCCTTGGCGAGGGGATAAAAACACACAACGAGTTGGATAAAAGTCATATCCAACTACAAATCATGGGAGATTCTTTTTATCCCATGTTTAATACTTCACAACCAATGTTTTACACTGTTTTATATAGGACTCCACTTTATTTTACTTCATCACGCTAACGCAAAAACCATTGTGACGTCACAACTGTGGATTATGAAAAATTTATCCAGTGAGTCATATCCACGGGATAAAGGGGTAAACATGGGATAAAACATAATTTATGTTATATATCATCCATAGGAAAAAAAATTTACAAGTCCACTGTATAATCTGATGATGATGCTTGCACCCTTATCTTCAAGCAAAAGGATAGAAAATATGTATATGAAAATATATAACTGCCAGTAATATAAGTCCGTGTATGACATATCATTGTTGGTATTCATCTACTATCTGTAGTATTACCTTGTACTTATTAACATCCAGTTTCTCGTCATTGACTGCTCGCTTCATGATTTTGGCATTTCTCTCAGAGTCAAGTCTCGTAAACATAATGGCCGACTCAGGCGGTGCCTGGATAGAAATGATAATGGCGTTAAGGCAGATGGAACAGTACTATAGTTATATCATGTTGTCACAGTCATTCAATAACTATATCCTTGACAGAAAAAAAACCAACAATATTCAATAGGCCAGTATTGCTTTAAAAGACATTTTAAATTTCAAAATTTTTTTTTTTCTTATCTGATAACAAATTTCCATTACAAAGATACTGAAATTCATAGAAGAGAGAACAGACAAAAAACGTACCTGCTGGACTCCATTACAAAGATATAGAAATTTATAGAAGAGATAACAAGAGACAAAATACGTACCTGCTGGACTCCATCCGATGGCGGCCTCTCCTGGCCAGACACTCTACCAAGGGCATTTAACTCTCGCTGTAACTCGTTAATGGTGTCCTGCATCTCCATCATAACAACAGTGTTATGTCTGGCGGGAAATGTAAAAAATAATCAGTTACCAATATTACACTTTGTAAACATAGTCTGATAAATCTCAAACTTCATTACTCTTCTTGACAGCTATAGACTTTTTTTTTTTACTTTAAACCTAGAAAAATAATCATTTAAACAATGACGATCCTCAAGGAGAGGCCAAGAAATTACAAATTTTCTATAAATGTAGTCAAATAAGAAATTCATGCAAATAAGGCATGCCACAGAGAGAAAATTTGAGAAAAATCGTTGTTGATGAAAATTTGATAAAAAAATTATCATGTTTAAAGGTTATCTCCCTTATTTGAGGATCATCTAACTATAAACCAATGTTCTGATAATTTTTATAGATCAATATGGACTGCCCTGTATTTAATGTTACTTGTATGATGACCTTTACCTCATCTGTTCTTCATGTTTCTTCGACTCCTCATTCAATTGCTGTTGCCTAAAAAATAAAAAGTTTGATTTTTCAAACTTATCTACATGTATATCAAAACACCTTTTTCAAGTTCAGGTAAAAAATATCAATTGGTGTTAGGCCTCTAAAGCATGTTCTCCTCTCTTTTAAAGACTTTTCTCAACTCAATTACCTTATAATAATTTTAAAAAATATTATTTTAAAACATCAAATACACCTAATCCTAGGACATACCAAATTTAACATAAATGTATCCACCAATAAAGATCCACCCATGAAAACTTACAATCTTTCATAATTTAGCTGTAACTACCAAATTTAACATACATGTACCCACCACTAAAGATCCACCCATGAAAACTTACAATCTTTCATAATTTAGCTGTAACTCTTTGAATGCCTCTTCTGATGAGGCACTCTGAGGGAATCTTGTCGACAGCGAGTGGTTGCTCCCCCTTGTGACAGTCTGTCCCCGCCCCGAGTCTGCGGATTTCTCGCGGTTCTGGATTGAGTTACGAGTCTGATCCCTGGACACCATCATTCCATTGAGTGAAGACACGATGGGCTCACGTTCGATGTACAACATACTGCTTAGAACACTCATTATCTCCTCAAGGGCTGAAAAAAGGGAAAATCTCACTTGATAAAGCATTGAAAAATGGAACTAGCAATCATAATCACAAATCTGACAGGAATAGTTTGTTTGAAAAAAACAACAAAAATCAACTTTTGAATTTAATCCTTGCATTTAGTTATCAACTTTGGAATGAAAGAGATTTCAACCTCCATGGTTTATTAATTATTAATCAACAGCAGTATGTTCATTCATGTGCAGATTTAGAAAAGGGGGGGGGAGGTCTGGACCCCACCCTGGAATTTGCAGAGATATTAAAAGTATATACTGAAGCAAATAAAAAATGACTTTGGACCCACCATCCCACCATGAAATAGGTGTTTTTCACGTTTAGGAAATGAATTTTACATTTTTTTTTTTTTTTTTTGCTTGTTAAGTAATTTTCTGGATAAGGAAGGGAATTTAGTTGTTTGTTTTTGTTTTGTTTTTTTGGCTTGTCAAGAAATTTTTGGGTTGGAAATTTTATTTTGACTGGGTTGGACCCCCCCTTGAAAAAATTCCTGGATTCGCACCTGTGATTCATAGGTCTTGCAGTATATACATTTTGACTTTACATTCAACGTAACAACAGTAAATGCTGTAAACGAAATAAATTATTCCATTGGTTTGCCCCGTAATATTTAGGATCCACCCCTTTGTTCTGAGCGATATACTTACTATAGTATACATTTTTGGTCATGTTCTCGAGTTGGGGCTGTACTTTGGCGTCCATGTCAAACTTCACTGAGTCCAGTTCCTGCAACAGCTCACTGGCCTGGAGAAACTCTGAAAAATGATGAAAAGTATTGTAAATCATATGCAAAAAGGATACATTAAAAACATTGACAGCTTTATTTTTATAAGAACAAAATGGGAAAAAAAGCAAAATGTTATTTGCCATCAAAGTCACAATATTTACCCAAAAATTTGGTTTTTTGTCAAAAGTCACATGCACTTGGGACAACCATTAGCTATCCATCAGGAAAATACTGTATACAAAACTAATTTTGTCTTGTCTTATTTCTGCCCTATTACACTTTGAAGCAATTTTGCTATGTGTTTTAAATTTGCCTAAACACAAATGTTTTAGACGAGAACTACCGGTAGTTGAACTTCATTATCTCGAACAAGGACATCTCAAATACCAGTTATATGACAAAGTAAACTGGCAGTCCCAACCACTTTTTCTGTTTTTTACCCTTGTTTTCACGAATCCTTGGATATCCACAAGTTTACTCTTGTTCCCATAAAGTTTAAGATAACAAGGTTTGACTGTATGTCTCAATTGAATTCACCCCATTTTGAATCTGTCCACAATAAGGGCAAAAATAAAATGGGAACAAAAATTTACTAATATACAGTTTGTACACAGGAAACCGCTCATTTCTGCCAAAGATAAATTTTGGTGACAGTTTGTTTTTAAGAGAAATGTAACACCCACCTCTATCCTGCATGACCCTGGACAAGTTTTCCTTGAAGATGACAATGCCCTCATAAGCCTTGAGGTACTCCCCCACGACTGGATGTTCTGCTAACTTTTTGGACATTGCTGTGCTCTGGCGGCGTGCGTCTGGGGGAGGCGAGGTACCCCTATCCTCCATCTCTATTTCCTCTGTCAAAATTAAAGCAAGATTTTTTAAATATATTTACTATAATGCTGTAAGGACCTGAATAATGCTTGTTTGTGTTTACGTGTTCCATCCATTCCTTTTGAATTTTTTATTCCAGAAAATTAATATGTGTGACCAGTCAGCAGGGGATGCTTACTCCTCCGTGGCACCTGATCCCACCTCTGTTTTGGAGGTCCGTGTTTGCTCTGCTCCCAATTTGTATTGATTTAAATAATGGACTTTGAGTTGAATAATGTTCATTATCTCCATATTTCATCCTATGTATATCGAATGCAAAGCCCCAAAAATTGAACAAATGAAAAAAAAAATCATTCAAAGAAAGATAAACAATTTCATCCTATTATCTGTGAAACAATTTTAGGTTCAAATATTGGGAAAAAACACCCACTTTTCATGCGACTATAAACAGTTACTTCTGTAGAATAGAAAAAAAATCTAAATATTTCTGGAATCCAAACCCACAAAAATGCCTTTTTATTAAACACATGCTTTAAATATATTTGAATGAAATTAATTTTCTAAACAATGAGATGTTTTATCCATTTTCAAATATCTGTAAAAATAAGGAATGTTCTAAGACCAGCTACATTTTTTTTCAACAACAAAAAATTAACCTTTTATTTCATCTGGAATAGGGAAGTCATCATCCTCCACAAGCTGGTCTTCAATAGACCTCTGGGAGGGGACTGAGATAGCTGGGGATTTAGACCTCCGTTCCTCTGCGGCCAACCGTGATTCCTCTAGACGATTTCTAAACTGATTTCTCAGTGAAGCGCGACTCTGGGATGAACTCAAGCGAATCTCATCTTCTGTCAATTCGGCACCGAGTTCTGGGTCAGTCTGGGTCTGTTGAATGATTGAACAATGATTAACAAATTGAATCATTTTTGAAATGTTAGCTCAAATTAACAATGTATTTATCAAGACTGCTAAAATGATAAATTTTTATAGTAACTAACTGAACAGGTACCTTTACATTATTTTTGCAAAGTTGCTTTAAGTAGCAATAGATAAAATTTTAAACTTCCACTATTGTTATTTCTCAATGAAAAATATCAGGAATCTAGAACTTCAAATTTTGCTAAATTGAAAACAAACTCAAACACATGCTAAACAATCAAGTTAGAAACACAAACAACTGCAAGAGATTAAAACAAAAAATAAACATAAAACAAGGTAAATTACAAACAAATCTTTGTATCATACAACAAAAACCAAAAAAAAATCATTTTGACTACAGATATTGTCTGCATGTATATTCTGTATGCCATATATTCAATGCTTTCCACTGAAAAAAAGATTAGGGTGGAATAAAACACTTAAGAAGTGTGGGACTCTTTGAGTGTGGGGCAGAGTTAACTTTAAACCAATGTTCTAATAAAGTGAATATTCCATAGGGAATATATAAAAGAAATATGTGATGATTCAATTAATCAAACAAACAATACTCAGCAAACGATTTGTTAGATCAGTCAGAGTTATGATCGTCATTTGTGAAGGTATCATTTCATAGTTACATATTGTGCCATGTTATGTTTCCATAGTTACATATTGCGGTGTCATGTTACGTTTCCATAGTTACACATTTAAGGGGGTATGGGAAGGTTCACCTGGGCATCACATCCGACACGGGATGGATTTACCTCGCTATCCATCATCATTATATCTAACTCTGTGTCTGCTCCACCATGACGCGCTATCATGGAGTCCGTCGTTTTCCCTGCTCCTAAAAAGTACTTAAAGGAATCTTTTGATGATGACGTAAAAGTGTCCCTAATAGAGCTCCCTCCTGTTGCCATGGTAGCGAAGGTCATTTCCCGTTTGCCGTGAGGGGCGGAGATGACTTTCTGGCTCCCCCTGGTGGAGAGATTGCTCCTTTGCTGACCGTACCGCTGTGATTGGGAGGATCCAAGGTAGCCGTGGAGAGGGGGGAGGGGATGGAGCGAGGTGTATGAAAGCTCTTGTAGGAATGTCATCATAGAGGACGGCTAGAAATGGGGGGAGGCAAATGTAACAGCATCAATCATACAGAGATAACAGTTTACATAGGTAGAAAAGGGGGGAGGCAAATGTAACAGCATCATGATCAACCGCTTACATAGCAATAGTATACATTATACTACATGTAAATGAAGAAAAAATTAAATTAATGAAAAAATTATAATTAAGAAATGGAATCCTTGAAATTGTGTTGATGTTTATCACTGTAAATATCAAATAGGATGAATTTTAAATAAGCAACTTCAATGTGAAAGAAGTCAACACTATGTGCATTTATTCAAAACAAATGTGAGATTTTTGGACAATAAAGGAAAAGTGTGAAAAAGTTAAAGAAGGAAAGGCCACAGGGACTGCAACATTAATGGAGAAGGAAAGAAAAGGGGATACTTCTGACAGTAAAACAAATAATAAAGTTTGATATTGTTTTAAAAAAACTGAGGTATTCCTTTTGACCACAAGGGTTTTTGTGAATAAAACACAGCAATCGGTGAGAAGTCAGGTGTATAATACCTCATCTCTTGTGTTCAAAGAATCTCGGGTCAAAGGTCGCAATAGTTCAACAGGTAAATTGGGTGTCTCTGAGACTCTAAAATCGTCCTCCAGGATCCCGAGCTCAGACATGGCTCGCGAGTTGAGATCTGCAAACTGATCAAACATTGTGTCTGGCAGAATGCCAAGCTGTATGGATTCCTCTGTCAGCTGACTGGCCAGAGAAATGATGGTCAGTGTCCGCTCCAGCTGGACATCAGTCAGAATCGGGTCAGCACTGATCTTCTGCAGGGCGCTGCGTACCGACTCCAGAGTCCTATTCTGCACGGAGGAGAGATTCTCTTCTTCTAACATGGACTTCACATTGTTAACAGCAGCCTCTTGGGAAGGAGGGAGTTCTCTCCCTTCGACAGCTCCATCGGTAAAACCTGGTGACGTGCTGAGAACGACCCGACCCTGAGCTGGGGTCACACGAGGGGTCAGCCAGGCATCTTTATGGCCAGACTCAGGGCTATGAAGAAAACTATGGGCAGAATGAACCGACTCCCTACTGCCTCCTTCTGAAATTTCTTGTATTGGAAGAGCATACTGGAGTTGGGATTGTGACCTAAACCCTCTCCCCCCATTTTCTAGAGGACGGGGGGATCCCATTGGTGTCCTCGGACCAGAATGAAGAGCCTAAACAAATTTTAGTTCATAGTCAATTTTTAAAAAGAAATCATTTACATTTTTATATAATGATCTTAATTTTACCTCATTTGGACCTCACATAGAGACAAATATTGGTAAAATTGAGATATTGAGAAAATATTCCTGTTTTAGTAAATGGATGGAAACTTTTAATTTAAAAAAAGCAACTCCACTTCAGAATAGTTTTTTTGGTTTGTTAAAACAGCAAACACAACCACTAAATTCTGTAAAACTCCAATTTAACAAAAAAAAGTTTCTCACTTCATTTTTAATAACACCTCCCTCATAGCAACTAAGACAAGAAAATAATGAATTACCCCTGAATCTACTTTTACTTTCTTAGTTTTCTTTGGTAAGGACTGAAATTAAATCAGTATACTGAATTTATACACAGCAAGGACAAATCAGATTTTACAACTGAACCATATTTTGTTCCATATAAAAGCTACTTTATTATGTTAAGTTTTATGCTCCATTAATTACACTCTCAGTATTCTACTCTGTTAACTACATTTCCTTCTCTGAATAAATAATGACCTAGTGACTTTCTGTTTATATATCTCTAAGTATTACATCTATCTAAATGTGCCAAGAAAGATAATGGATGTAAACAGTAGCTAGTGCTCGTACATGTAGATTACATGCACACAAAATATCTAATTTAAACGTTGTCAAGGCTGATGATATTATATATTAAACAAAATCATGATTATACTTAAAGCTGATTTTATATTGACAGGGCTATAATTATAAACTTACACTGTACAAAGAATAATGGTGAACAATTGATATTTTATATAAAGTGTTCTATTTGCACACAATATATTTTAATGCATAACATGCTAAAAATATTGACATCACTGAGATAACTAACTGCAAAAAAGCCTTTTTTTTGATATACTTAACTAAAAATAAAAAAAAAACAGAAAAGTTACAAGTTTATACAACATCAAGTCTGGAATATAGAATAGTCTAACATAAGCTTGGTATGGAGAGTGCTCCACAAAGGGCGATAACTGTTACCTGTTCATCGACCACGAGTTTATAATTATCTGACATGGAGGTTTGTCTGTCCAGCTAATTGTAAGAATTGAATTCAAAAATCAAAGTCATGTCAACAAAATTTCCATCTATAGCTCCTTACTATAATCTTCCATCATGAATATATCAATAAAGAAACGATTACATCTAGAATAATATTTCTAAAATCTTTTAATTCTTGACAAATGCTTTAATTTTCACAATTTTTAAAAAAAAAAATATTGAATTAAAAAATGCAAATTTCTTTCCTAAATAATTCAATTTTGTGACCTATTTCAGTATCTCTCTCTCAAAAAAAATTAATCCTGCTATTTTCTGTTACCTAGTTCTTAAAACAAAATAACAACTCTCCCACCTAGTAAATCATGAAGAAGACTTGAGATCCACCCCTGTATTTACCTTTCTGACTTCCTCCACTCTCGGAGACGGTTCCTGTGGTTCAACAGCAGGTGGCGCCGACATGGCTCCTGACGTTATTCTTGCTTCTGCCTAAAACAGTAAAATTTAAGAGATGATAATGGTCAGCTTCATATACAACAAACTGCTATTCAGGTCAAGCTTGATAGAGTAACATGTCAGATTTCAATAAAATTCCTCTTTTTTTTTTTTTTTTTTAAATCTTAATCAAATTAAAATTACATCTTGACAGAAAAACAAAATATAATCAAAAATTGAGAAAATCACAATGGCAATAATTAAAATTGCATACTAAAAAAAAAACCTTAAAAAACAATAAAAAGACAAAGAAAACGATAAAAAGACAATTATTTGGTGCTGAGAAAACAGGAGCATATTCACATTAAAACAATATGATATACAGTCAAACTTCATTATCTCAAACTTGATGGGACCGAGAAAAAACTTAAAAGATATCTGAGGATTCAAGATATCTAAAATACTTAAAGAATAAGTGGTCGGGACTTCTAAATCATTTCTACATATCCAAGGTATTCAAGATATCAGTATTTGAGATACCGAAGTTCAACTGTACATATACATGATATATAAGCTATAAATCATAGTTATTTTGAGTGATATAGCAACAAGAAACAGAGGCAATTTATTAATGATGACAACAGCTATATTTCAAAAGTTAATTATGTTATTTTTATCACTGGAAAATTTCACAATGCCTTAATTACAGTGAAAATATAGACATCACAATTTTAAGTGTTATTCGAGTTTATTATTTAAAAGTGAATTTTAATGACTTGCAGTGAGTTTTTTTTTTTTTGTCTTTGTAGTTTATTCCTTGTGACATTTAAGGTAGACATATCCTGACTTAACAGTTAAACACATTGATCTGTGAATTTAGAGTCCCTATAAAGGGGCCTCAGTTATTTGTGCTATTATTTCTATACCCTGTGGAGTACCTCACACTGATCAGTGAATTTAGATTTCCCATGATGGGGGCCTCATTAGTGCTGTTATTTCTACACCCTATGGGGTACCTCTGATCTAAGTTTATCCTCCCTGGTACTCCCCCTCCTCCTCATGTGTCCTGGGGCAGTATCCACCTTACGCGAGGCATCCACATCCTCTAATGTCATCCTCACCTGTGGCTGGGATCTCGTCCTTGAGACAACCTTCTCCTCAAAATCAAACCCAGACATCCTCCTTCCTTCTTTGTCAAATTCCTCATCTGAATATTCCTCATCAGGAAGACCCAGGATTTCCTCCTCAGACCTAAGTCCTCTTGAGGACGTTGTTTTCCTTGATGTCATCTTGCTGTGGTTCCTCAGTCCTCGTGAGGCTGTTGTACGCCTAGAGCCCTCGACCACTTCCTCTTCAATTTCTTCCTCATCCTCAGATCCATCTTCCATTTCTGGTTTGAAGCTGAAGTGAGTGCTTTGTCTCGATTGCTTCTCTGAGAAACGAGATTTTTCCGAGTTGCGAGATTTTCTGAAACTCTGATGAGTGCTCTGACGAGATTCTTTATCAGCAATATTTCCACGTGAACTCCTTCTAGAGGTTGTCTTGGAGACAGGGTCTAGTTGTTCTCCATCATCAATCAGACTTTTACGTCTGGACGAGACTCGTCCCTCTGCACCTGACCTCTCACTCCTGTCTCTAGTTGACATCTCGCTCCTATCTCGAGCTGATATCTGGCTCTTTCCTCTGCTCGACAGCAAGCTTTTATCTCGACTTGAGAGTTGGCCTTCCTCTTGAGAAGACATCTTCTGACTTATCTCAGAAATCTCAGTCTCGGCACCCTCAGGTTGTAAACTTCTCTGAGATGTCCTCCTAGAGATGGATTTATGCCCTGACTCACCATGAGATAAGCTTTTCCTTGATAAAGATCTGGATTTCAAGCTTCTCTGTGACTTTGTCTTGTTTCTAGAGAGAGGCTCGCTATCACTGTCTATAGCATTATCCTCATCCTCTTCATTAGGGTCCGTCAATTTTGAAATCTCGGTGTACAGTCTGTCAGACTTGCTATGGAAGCTGGCTTTGGAGAGAGAGGATTTTCGCTTTTGTTCATCTGTGTCATCCTCGGATTGGGAGCTGGTGGATTCTAGCCTGTTTTTCCTGGATTTTCCTCTGGATAACAGCCAGGGTGCAATGTCTCCATCCAGATCCGCGGACGAAACATGACTGGAGCTGGATTTCTGTCTCTGCGACTAAAAGTTTGTGGCATACATAATCAGAAGACTATCTGATCAATATACCTTGTCATCTTTAACATTTTCATTATGATACACATTTTGTAACTTTCCTACTGCAATAAGGCATGCAACATAAACTGAATGTCCAATAAAAACTTCAGAGATGTCAAATTCTTGTCAAAATATTTGGTAATCGAAATGAGTATGTTTTGCAAGATACATGTACATTTTCAATTTTTAAGATCTGAATCAAAGTTAAAGACCTAGCTGTGATTTCTGGCACAAGTTTTACTGAAACCGCAAAATAACTTCTACACGAAGCAGATACTAGTACATAAAATATAATCAAAAGCCTGAAAGGCTTCAATGACGTCGAAGAAGAAAAACAATTTCAAAAGATCATTTTGAATTTGAAGATAGCAATAAGTCAACTGAGTGACTCAGGAGACATAATAAAAAAAATAGTTTAAACAAAATATCACAATTACAGTCTGGGGCCTTATGTCATGGTCCGAATGGAGCAGGGTTCGAATTGACCAGACACCGTCGAACATGTTCATGCTAAATTCTTTTCAGTCAGTTGAAGAACTATAAAGGATTTCATGAATTTATATAATATTTTTTCTAATTGCCAATGTCAAAGCATTGTATTAGTGATTGCATCTAAACTACAACCAAGACTCTGTTCTGTTACAATTACGATCGAGTTACGATCGGGCATGGTATACGGTATACTGGGAAATGGAGGAAATGGAGAAATACAGCAATACTGGTCAATATCATCGGTTTTTAGAATAGAGTTAGTTAGAACATTGTATAAGTAAAGCTAAGATTTAAAAATTCAATCTTTTTTGTCTTGTAGTATTCGTGGTTATGTAATTTTGTAATTATTTTACCTCCTGTTGTGTTGTTTATGTTACACAGTTATCGTTCCGAAATGTTATTCATGTCATTCAACGCACCCTTTCTGTAGAAATTCATCCGCAACAACCATCACGTTTTTCTTGTGTGAGAATAAAACATAATATTGTTGTTTTGCAATAGAATTAATTGTAGATATAATTGATGGAATTTTATTTTCAAGATATTATTCATTTTGAGCATTTTCAAAGAAATTGGTTTATAGCTATTGTTATTTTCTATTGCGGATGCATCGACTGACACATTCGGTCGCGTACATATCCGGTCGCGATTTCAACTGGGCGCTCGCTAGATGACATTCGAGCTCCAAGAGCTCGACGTCATAAAAATGGTAGACTTCTTTTTATAATTTTAATATATTTACTTATAAAGTCAATATAAATTTGTGTGTTTATTTTACCTTAGCATCATCTGTCTGTTGCATCAGATTGGACAGTTCCTGGTCTGTTCCTTCGGTAACCACTTGTGGGGGAGGAGACACCTGTTTGGGGGGAGGAGTTACGACCTTGGGGAGGGGCTGACTGATCCGCCGGGTAATATCTGATGCCTTACTTTCCTCTTCTTCCTCCTAAAAAGAATTCATTCATAAATAAAATAAATTAAAATCTCAACTTTCTAGTATATAACTTGATTTTAATTACAAAGTTTGCATCTCTGAAATTGTGTTGGTTTGATGTATACTCCAAGGATCTTTCTGAATTTCAATGATTTCATCCCTGCAAAAAATAAATTTTTCTCTGATACATTTTGTACAACACAGTGCCACCTGACAACATCCACATGTTAGCTAAAGAAGGTAAAAATATAAATTCAATGTTTGAAATATTAAATTTATTCACAACTAAATCTCACATTCTGCCTCATTTTCTCCCAATCCACTTGTCATGAAAATTGCTTCACAAAATAATTCATCCTGACAGTTTCACAAATTTTGCCATGAACTCACAACAACCAAGCTAGAGGTGTGAGAATACCCCCTCTGCTGTCATTGGATAGTCCTACCTTACACTGCATAGGATGAGAAAACCTGGATACTCCTTACAGTTCTTAGGTTCACACACAGAGAGAGGGAAGAAAAATCTCAAATGACACTTCAAATTCTCCTTAGTATAACCTCTAATCAAACACTGGTATAGGTACCAATCAAAAGAGACTATGTTTCACTAATATCCCCATTACATAACATGCAGTGTCTCATGTGGAAAGAGTTCCTTGGTCCCTCCATTTGATTAAATTCTCCTGGGGCTATACCTCACAGATAACAGCATTCTCTCTGTCAAATCAAAGCTTTTTTGTATCTTTTTGTACATTAAGATTGACAGGTATCTCACAGGTCTCCCAGATCTACACTGTTCTTGTAAATTACTTTATGAATAACATGGTTTGTAAACTGTTAGGGATTTAATTTAAGGCTAAGTCATCTTAAAGGCAAGATTTTTAAAGATATCCAGCAAGACAATTGCACCTCTGACGATATACTTTTAAAAGTCATTTTAAAGCCCCCATCTACCATCCCCCCCCCCCCCCCCACCCAACACACACATATCTTTCCAAGAGTTGTTAGCCCAGCAAATCAAATGTTGAATATTCTTTATAATTTTCCTGTTCCAAAAAAGGTGAAAGACAACTAAATAAACATAGCCTTCCACACTGTCTAATAAGCCAAGCACAGTACAATACTTCTTTTCCACGGGGAAAGTTTTGTGACATGGCACTAACCAGGACAGTATACCTAGTACTTTTTATAAGAAAAAAAACTCCTATTGATTTGTTAATTAAGAATTAAGTTTGCTTGGCCTGGATGGGAATCACCCCCTGAGAATGCTCTTTATGTACCCTTTAAATAAATCAGATAGCGACACACATGTTATACATCTAGGATACTGTGAATGATCCTGATCATAGATAATTCTTCTAAAATCACAGTCTGCCCCCATATATGTAACATAAATATACCAGAGCTCTATACTAATAATAAAATACAAGCCTTGAAGTTCATGCAAACACATTTCATGCCAGCAGATTTTTTAAATATGAGGACATTTACTTACCACCCATATACATAATACAGTACCCAGTATTCTGAGTGTTTAACTGAAGGGAGAATTAAATAAAAGTTTAGAATTCTATACATGCTAAACAAAATTTTCATTAATTTTATAGTTATGATTTAGGAAAGGGATACATTAATTTCTTCTTCTTTTTTTGACACCCCCTACCCATTTTTTTCCCATCAATTTACATTACCATAATTTGAATCAAAGGTGAATCTAAATAATTCTACCTTAATTTTTCAACAAACTTTAACACAAAAAAAATGAAAGCATTTAATACATGAAATATTAAAAATGGAGTTTGTCTTTTTAGGGACTTTATGGAAAATTTTTCAAAAAAGCAATGACTAAACAAAAACTTACTGTACAATTATTCAGTTCTTCCTAAATAAAATTAAAAACTCCAACATCACACTGAACTAAACCTAATTACAGTAGAGTGTCATTTAGTGTTATACTCTGGCATAAAATATTAATCCCTATATTATCCACATTTTAATTGGTTTAAATAAGAAATTGAATTGAATGACAATGTCCCCGTTGGGTACTTTGGTTCAAATCTGCGTTTGTCATTAATGACATCATATTAATAACAACACACATCAAATGAGAACCATTGAATTTTCATCTCCTTCTCAACATGCCAAAGAATTCTATTTTACCCTCCATCATTTTTTTCTTTCTTTAATACTTGTCATTTTTGAGTTCTCTGTCAGAATTCATTTTCTTTGACAGATCATAATACAATCAACCCAATTTAAAAAGACCCATCAACACAAGCTGTGCATTGCAATACAATTTCCCAACCTGATTATAGTGCTATACACACAGCTAGCTTTTAATTCATTTATTTATTATAGATTTTATCTATCGCTGTACTCTGTAATATTTAAATACTTAATTCATTCATACCCCTCTCTGTGTTCAAGCTTTGAATTGCTTAAACATTATATACATATATGGTCCAGATATTTTAGCATTCAATTTTAAGGCGAATATTAAACATCAAGGTCTAAATTTCTCAAATCAGTTTAGAACAGATTTTATTTTCTCAAAGTTAAATCTTGAGTTAGCAAAAAAGAAAAAAAAGACTCTTGTGCCTCAATTCCTCAGTTCATTACCAAAAGAATTCTTTTACTTTTGAGCTCCTGCATTTTCCCAGTTTGGAATTTTTACATAATAAATAAAAATGCCCAATATACCCCCCCCCCTTTACCCTCCTCCCTCTCTCACCAATTCTGTCTCCTTTACTCACATGCACTACCTCATGGCTATTTCTCCCTTCTTTCCCCCAGTCCCTCCCTGTTATACCCCTATCCCCACCTTCCTACTTATTTTCTTTAGCTTTCATATATTTGTCTTTCTCTCTTTCCTCCACCCTTACTTTACTGTCATTTTCTCTCTGCATATGCCAAAGCTTTCTCTCCCCTCCTCCTCCCCTTTCTTCCTGTCTCTCTCTCTCCCCCCCCCCTTCCTTTCTCTTATCTTACCAGTTTCTCCTGTTCGTTGATAAACTCCTCAAGTTGTGTCATGGCATCATCAGCCTCTCTCTCTCGCTCTCTCTCTCTTACCAGTTTCTCCTGTTCATTGATAAACTCCTATAGCTGTGTCATGGTATCATCAGCCTCTTTCTTTCTCTCTCCCCTCTTTCTTTCTCTCTATCTTACCAGTTTCTCCTCTTCGTTGATAAACTCCTCTAGCTGTGTCATTGCATCATCAGCCTCTTTCTCTCTCCCCTCTTTCTCTCTCCCCCCTCTTTCCTTCTCTCGCTCTCTCTCTTACCAGTTTCTCCTGTTCATTGATAAACTCCTCTAGCTGTGTCATTGCGTCATCAGCCTCTTTCTCGGCTTCTGTCTGCAGCTTTTGAGCTTGCTCCACTTGTTCTATCAAAATGTTCCTTTCCTGAAAAATATTTAAGAAGTTGTTTATGTAAAATGTGTAAGTGCACTTCATTAAATGTTCCAACAAAAAAATCATTAAATTTATACAAAACTTGAAGGACTATCCAATAAATCTAAGAATCAATAAAAACGGGATTAGTTTCATCTCATAATTTTGCATTGTACAGAATTTCCAGTGATCTGATAGTTTGACATATAGTTGATAACTTACGGCCTCCCATTTAGACTTGTGCTCCTGGAACTGTGACTTAAGGGTATTGACCTTCCTCTGGGTTTTGGCTAAGGTCAAGGTCAACTGTTCCTCCAGCTCTGATATTCTCTGTTGGCTCTGTCAAATGTTAAAACAGTACATGAGGTTCATTTATACAATGACATATTTTATTAATCTGAGAGAGAGAGGGAGGGAGAGAGAGAGAGAGAGAGAGCATTATATACTTACCAACTGCCTGTACTGTGAAAATCTCCCTGGGATCTGATCTTTGGGTACAGAAGCCTAAAAAAACATTCAATGCATATATTTTTTTAAAAAAATGTTCTTCTCCATTGAAAAAGCAATTGGAAAATATTCTGAATAAGCCAAGATTCTAAACATTATACTTATTCTGAAATATAATGGAAAAAAGAGTTATTCCCCTTGACACAGCACTCTGAAATAATTCCAATAGAATCTAGATAATTTTAATGCTGTGTTTGATTCTTTTCAACGGATTCATAAAAACTTTGTAAACGTTGAATAATATCATGCATAAATTAATTGGTTTGATCTATGAAGAGCAGTTAAACTATGTCCATTTAATAACACTTTTAAAATGTTAAAATTCTCTCCGAGATGTAATATTGCTTTGTTCTTCATCATTGAGACAATCTACATGGTAACTTGTTGTTCAATAATTCTTATTCTAAAATTTGGAGGAGAAATTCTATTTTTGTCCATCAGTTAAGCTCAGTGCCTATCCATATGCAAACTACGGAAATCATTATTTCTTCATATTCCCTACTTTACAGTATGAAAAAAGTCCTCATTATCTTTGTATCTGTAATGGTTAACCAAGTTTGTCACTTGTTATAGAAATGTTCTAATCTCTGAGAGTTCAGTGATTACACAAGAAACATGGAGAGAATGCAGATCTTGAAATCATAAATGATCCCGACACTTTGAAGTGACGGGGCAATAAATATCATCACCAGGTCTTCAAACAGAAGTTATTGTGTGTGAACAATTATTACTTGATGAAAATTGTAGAAAAGGAAAAGGCAAGTGGCAAAATATGAGGATATAATGATCACATTTGTCATTTCCCAAACTTCTGTATTTTTTGAAATAAGATTTATGGCTTTCTAAATATTTCTTTCAATATTCATCTCAAATACTGTCCATCATAAAAAGAGAGAGTAATTATGCAAATTTGACAATAAATCCAAACAAACTGATGATAAAACTTGCTTATTTATTTTACTCATGTATTGTAAATTGATATAAAGACATCAGGAAATGCATAAAAGTTTGGATTTTTTTGGTAAACAGAGTTGAGGAAGGAAGTGGACTCTGAACACATACATTTCTACCTAAAATATTACTGTGTATTCTGTAGGGTTATTTTTGAACACCCTTTCACACTTGTAAATATTTTTCCAATATTTTAAATTTACCCAGACAAGATCATTTTCAAGAAATAATGCTGTTTACTCTGAATTTGCCCTGTTCTAAATTCATCCACTTGCAATGAGGGCAGAAGGGTGAAAAATAAAACGGGGTGAAAATTTCCCTGGATACACTATCAAGGCCATGGCAAAGCTCAGAGGCATGAAAATGCTGGAGGTTCAAATCTAAATGTGAACACATAATTTTGCACTTTGTGTTCCAGATCATGACACATGAGCCAGCTACTCCAAACTGAGAAACTTTTTCTGAATCAACTTAAGATCTTGTCGAATTTTGAGTGGGTTTACATTTACAGTATTACCGTAAATGCCCTCTACAGTGCTGTAAAGTGTAACATACCCAGGAAGTATCTGTGTTTATATGTACATTTACAGTTTTACCGTAAATGCCCTCTACAGTGCTGTATAGTGTAACATACCCAGGAAGTATCTGTGTTTATATGTACATTTACGGTAAATGCCCTCTACAGTGCTGTATAGTGTAACATACCCAGGAAGTATCTGTGTTTATATGTACATTTACGGTATTAGCGTAAATGCCCTCTACAGTGCTGTATAGTGTAACATACCCAGGAAGTATCTGTGTTTATATGTACATTTACGGTATTAGCGTAAATGCCCTCTACAGTGCTGTATAATGTAACATACCCAGGAAGTATCTGTGTTTATATGTACATTTACGGTAAATACCCTCTACAGTGCTGTATAGTGTAACATACCCAGGAAGTATCTGTGTTTATATGTACATTTACGGTATTTCCGTAAATGCCCTCTGCAGTGCTGTGTAGTGTAACATACCCAGGAAGTATCTGTGTTTATATGTACATTTACAGTATTAGCGTAAATGCCCTCTGCAGTGCTGTATAGTTTAACATACCCAGGAAATATCTGTGTTTATATGTACATTTACGGTATTAGCGTAAATGCCCTCTACAGTGCTGTATAGTGTAACATACCCAGGAAGTATCATCAGTCAACTCAAACTGGTTGTCAAACTGAACCTTGACCTCAGCTTCAGGGACGGGGTCAAGGGTCGACTTGTTCCGCTTGGACTGTCGTGTCTCAACATGAGCAGAAGAGTGATCTCCCCCTTCATCCTGGACAGAGGACTCTGCAGTCTCTATAGAGGAGGAAAATACTCAATTAAAGCCAAAATACATAAAGAATACAGAAGATATTAAATCCTAGTCAAAATACATAAAGAATAGAGAAGATATTAAATCCCAGTCAAAATACATGGAGAATAGAGAAGATTACACAGAACAAACCAGCATGAGAACCCAGCCTACCCAGATCTTAATATGCAGTGAACTTTTCAGACATACATGTAATGCTATACACATTGAATATTATTTGGCATTTTGCCCATAATCTTTCTTAACAGTACATTTAATCATGCACTGCTGTGTTTCATTCCTACTCTTCTACTTTTTTCTACATCCTGGTAATTAGAAATTAGGGTAATATACATCTTTTAAAAAGTCCAGCTTCAGATTCATCCTCCCTCTGTTCAATCATAAAAATTTTTTACCACTGTTTTAGATCTTGGTCTAAGGATTTTATAAATCAAATTTAATTCATTTTCAAATGCATATATAACTTCATCATACCCTGCAGGGCAAAATTTGACAGAAATGAGCATTTAACTTGACAATTTTGTAATGGAACAATGGTCATTTATTTCAGTAAGAGTTATCTCTCTTATTAAAGGGTCTGTAAACCTTAAGGTTTTGAAATATAGTGTTTACCTTTGACCTTGACTGGGGACTTTGTGATGGTGGGTGGGGGTTTGACCGGTGACTTCTGTTTCTGAGGGGGAGGGGCTGACTGTTTGCTGGACTTTGTGCTTGGCCGACTCTCCTGAAAATAATAATGCAATCAAACTAAGGAAAATGTATACTTCGTACATGTACATAAACTGTGAACAAAGTTTCCCCTGTATTCTTCATGATAATGACAATTGAACATGTCAGCAGAATTCCTTTTTGCATCTTTCCAGCTGTCCCTAGCTGTTTTAATAGTATAAGTGTACATGTGTATTAAAATAACAGTTAATATAAATAAAAAACTCATCTTCTCTAGTACAGAATTGTCAGCTTCTTGATTCATTCTCAAAAACATTAGTCAGTCAGTCACAGAGGAAATATAAGTTCACAGTCTCTTCAACAATTGTTATAATAACTAATTTTCCAGATAATATAGTGAAAGATCAGAATTTTCATCAGAAATAATTTCAAATATAAATTATTTCAAATATTTGAAATGAAACTTAAAACAGAAAAAACAAGAAGTCTGTGAGCCAATGCTCACTTATAATACCCCCGCTCTGATGTGAATACACAAGTTCAGTTATGGACAAACACAGTGATAATCAGGAAATTGACATCGGATTTGTAAAAACTGAATCCCAACATATGGCATGCCTAAACAAAGAAAAAATTTCAAGCATCTGCAATGAGTAGTTGCTGAGAAAACTACGACCAAAATTTATTATGTATGGTACGGACAGACGCACGGATAAACAGGAAGTTGACATCGGATTTGTTCCAAAAATGAATCCTATTATATGGCATGCCTAAACAAAGATTGTGCTAAAATTTCAAGCATCTGCAATGAGTAGTTGCTAAGAAAACTACGACCAAAATTTGTTATGTATGGTACGGACAGACGCACGGATAAACAGGAAGTTGACATTGGATTCATACAAAAATGAATCCCACCATATGGCATGCCTAAACAAAGAGTTTGTTAAAATTTCAAGCACCTATGATGAGTAGTTGCTGAGAAAACTGCGACCAAAGTTTGTTATGTGTGGTACGGACAGACGCACTGATAAACAGGAAGTTGACATCGGATTAGTACAAAAATGAATCCAACCATATGGCATGCCTAAACAAAGAGTGTGTTAAAATTTCAAGCACCTGTGATGAGTAGTTGCTGAGAAAACTGCGACCAAAGTTTGTTATGTGTGATACGGACAGACGCACGGATAAACAGGAAGTTGACATCGGATTCGTACAAAAATGAATCCCACCATATGGCATGCCTAAACAAAGATTGTGCTAAAATTTCAAGCATCTGCGATGAGTAGTTGCTGAGAAAACTATGACCAAATTTTTTTATGTATGGTACAGACAAACGCACGGATAAACAGGAAGTTGACATCAAATTCGTACAAAAATGAATCCCACCATATGGCATGCCTACACAAAGAGTGTGTTAAAATTTCAAGCACCTCTGATGAGTAGTTGCTGAGAAAACTGCGACCAAAGTTTGTTACGGACAGACAGACAGACAGACGGACAGACAGACAGACGGACAGACAGACAGACACACAAGGGTAAAACAGTATACCCCCCTCTCCTTCGGAGCGGGGGTATAAAAAATAGTTAAGACACTCATTTCAATATGTAGAATAAATATGAACTGCTCTTGCCTTTGGCTTGATAACAACAAGCTTATGTTTCATGTTGAAAATTCCATTTTACAAAAACATTTCACTTCACAAAACATGAAAATTCATAAATATGGTTTTTCAGTCAGAAGAATAATAATTAGCAGAAATCACAAATGCGACTGCTTCACTGACAACAAGGGGCAGCTAAATGTAAACTCCCAAGCTTCTGTGTAATCATTGTTCAAATATTTTATTATTTAATCGGATAAAATTCCATTTTTAGAAAACAAAACACGTAAAATAAAGAACTTATATTCCCTAAATCTTCTATAACTTTCTTCACTCATAAAATCCTGAGACAATATGCTGGACTAGGTTACTATCCGCAACGATGAATTTTATTGGTTTTTATTTATAATAACGTCAGCATCCCGATTTTATTACATTTCAAATAAAAAGTCACAATTGCGGAAGATAACTCAGATGAAAGATGCCGCGGTAATTATCCCTGGTCATTAAAAACACATCTCCGGTTAATCATCGAGAACAATCAGTATGTGATGAAAACGCAAAAGCTCGCAGATATTATTACTCCTAATGGCTTATCCCTTGTGTTCATGGGAAACATGTCTGATTTTTAAAACAACTTCTGTTTTTCAATGTCTAGCCTCAAGCTGACAGAACTTCTCTTCTGAATTTCTGGTCAATATTCTTTTTTAGTGACAAAATTTAATCATTCCTAATTTTTCCCCCTCCATGTAAACTGAAATCCTATGATGAAATCACTTAGTTTTCCCACCCTAGTTAGAGATTATGTTTTCCCCTTTTGCTTACACTTCACAAAGCATCGATTAGAATTTATTGATCATAATATTAAATGCCTTAACGTTTCGTTCCAGCATCCCATGCAGTGTATATATTGGATATGGAGAAAAATTAATATTTGAGGCTGTGTTTCACCAATGGACCATTATAATTGTTATCCAGGCTGTAGCAGGAAGGCTTTTATCCTCCACCTAATACACTCTGTCTTAAGTTACCATAACAGATTTAAATTGTCATGGTGACAAATTTCAGGGTAAAAATTTTGACATTGATTTTTTACCAGTCTCAAGAGAAAAATTATTGAGAAAAAAATTCAAGCATGCAAATATTGACCATAGACCGGCTGTTGTTGAGGATAAAAGACGATAAATATTTAACTCTGAAAAAATCTGCCAATATTTCGACGTCAAGCACAAGGAAAGCCTAATTGAATTGGAACTTTTATGAAATTTAGTTGCCGCACTGACGTAAACAAACCAAACCAAACACACAGAAAGGTGACAACAGTTGGAACAAAGTAAACATATCGGGGAAAATGTGGCATTTAATAAAAGTGACATGCTTCTGATCGACACTCAGTGTATCATTCTTGTTAACTTTGACTCAGCTTAGAGAAGCATGATGTATAGATTTAAAAAAAACTATTCAAAGCGAATGTAATAAAAATATATCCATTATGGCATAATACAATTACTCTACAGTTTTTAGCTAATGTTAAACCTCTTTTGTAAACTTTAACTTAGCATTTAGACAAAGAGTTGTATTGATTTAAAGGGGGGGGGGGGGGGGAATCATGCATTCAAAAAAGAACATAATAAAAATATATTCCATAATACATGAACAATTACAATTAGGAATAGTAAAGATTTCAGATTTATAAATTGCCTGCTGGAATATTAAATAGTTAAAAATCCACAAACATAAATATCACTTAAAATTTCTTTTCTTTTTTATTTATTTATTAGTCAATTGTGAATTAGGTGAATAATATGCATTAATATGCACCTCTTAGTGGGGGGGGGGGGGGATTCATTCATGCAGAATTAAAATGACTATTTTTAAGTCTAAATTTAAAGGCTTTTTGGCTTAGAATAATTTTTTTCATCCAACATCTCTTTCCTGAGAATAAAATTTTTATTGCATCATGTAAAAAAAATTTTAAGATCATAAATCAATCATGGACATAAAAAAGCACGAAAAAGGTTTTACACTGAGGAAGCAAAATAAACTCGATTTTTCAATCCTGTGCATCTCTCTCTCTCTCTTTCTTTCTCTGTGAATGACAATACAAGCTCAAAATAAAGCATAAATTTCGGTGAATTCCACAACATACCCTGTTTTTCCCTGCAGGTCCCTGCATATGGTCATAACAAAATAGATTATGCGTTTACTACAACTCAGTTATAGAGCCTTTATCTATATTCAACTATTCTAATCTCAGCATTGCATATGGTTTACATTTTAATATGACCTTAACCTTTGACCTTGACCTCACCTGTTGTAAAGCATCATCGTCCTGGATCTCGGGCTCTAATCTGGATTCTGCAGAATTACCCTGAAGGAATGAAAGTTCAAATTATATTTATTTATTAGTATACATTATACAATACAAGTTTTTAATTCATGAAATTAATAATTATAATTGCTTCTCGAACATAATTGTGCAGTTGTACCTCAAATCTCTATGACAAATATAGAAATTTAAAAAATAAATAAATAAATAAAATTTTGCATTAAACAAATAAAATAACATTAGAAGAACTAAAGTGATAAAAGTACTCAAATAAAACTACACTTAGTCGTGATATACATATGTATAACTTTTTCAATATTAGTAACAAGTACAACAACAACTAAAACAATTAATATCTGATTTTATTGATCAGCGAGGGTATATGTTAATTACTGTTAGTTGAATAGGCGTAAACATTTAATATCCAACACATCCTGTGTTAATCAGAATAATTATGCATCATAGTGGTTAATACAATTGGACATAAAACCCAAGATACACGACTGTATATTAAATACACATGCACCTATCTCTGATATATCAGAATACCATTCCTAATGCTCTGCAATCTCAAACATTAAACATTGACAACACAAGTTTTGTATCATCTTTAAGCCCCTTTAGATTAATACAGATTCATGTATTATGCATTCCCTAAATTTGACGTGTTTCTAACTTTAATGTTGTAATCATGCCTTTATTGCAAAAGAATTTCTGTGAAAAGCTCACAATTAACAGGATGTAAAATTTTTGGTTCTCTTTAATTTTTATCTAAATTATTTCCCATCCTCTTAAGGTAATAATTCTAAACTATTTACCAAGGGTAATGGTGTGAGGGTTTGGGGCATGGAATGGTATGGAATTCATTGCTGGGGCAATTGTCAAGATCAATGTATTAATTAACAGAGGCTGTAAATGCAGCCAAGCATGACCATTGCAGACAAGTCCTGTTAAGATTCTTAATTCTAATTCACATCCAACTAAAAAGGCAATCATAACAAATTAGACTGATTCTAAAGTGCATGTTCATGATGTATGTACAAAAGATTCAAATTCATCTTAGTGCAAAATTAATGATTTCATGTATACCCTACTTGTAATCATTTAGTTAATTGTTGATTGGTTATATATTAGTTATAGTTAGTTAATTGATGATTGGTTATATATTAGTTATAGTTAGTTTCATAGTTAAAGAATCAAACTTAAGGATTAGTTTGGTCTGTAATCAAAGATTTGGGGGAACATAAATTTTGGTCTGTCCGACCATCTGTCTGTCTGCAAAATCTTTTACCTTGCCCATAACTTTTGATTGATCGGAGATAAGGCTTTCATATTTCACATTGTGTATTCCTTTTGACAAGACTTTTCTTTGGGTACCAACACATTTTACCTCTTGACCTTGGACTTTGACACACTTTTGAAAAATTTTACCAAACTACAGTGCAGGAAACTAGTTTTGTTACAGCATCGATGCTGATTTGAATGCTTCCTTTGCTTGCTGATTTGAATGCTTCCTTTGCTTGCTGATTTAATGCTAGTAATCCTTATCCTGATGCTGTTTTATAATTAGGTCAATGCTACCGGAAGCAGCTACCTGCAGTAGATAATGAATTTCAGCATTGCCGTTTAAAGCAATAAAAGTGCCTTTTACAATTATTTGATCATAATATCTCACTATGTATCAATAATGTGAATACTTTGACCAATATTCTTTCTTTCTTTTTTAATTTTTTACTGAATTAAAACTCTTTGATTTTCTGATGCTAGTAGGATAACGCTGATTTTATGTAGGTCAATGCTGGTTTTATCCTATGCTTGCTGATGCTGATCCTGGTAATGCTGTTTTTTAAATGCTGATCCTGATGCTAGCTCGATCCTGATGCTACTAATGCTTATGCTGATGCTGGTTTATGTAACAAAATTAGTTCCCTGCACTGTAACCTTGACCATAACTTCTGAACTGCTAGTGCTACTGGGCTTTCCTATTTCACATTTCTATTTATTGAGACAAAACTTCCCCTTTGTTACCAACATTTTTTACCTTTTGACCTTGACCTTGGAATATTACCTAACTTCTGAAAAAAAAAAATTCAACTTTGGCAGTATCTTTTGAAGAGTACTACCTGGTGCTAGCTAGGGCTTTCATATTTCACATGTGTATTTATAGTAACATTTTTAACCATTTCCTATTTTTAAAAAAATTTCACCATGACCATAATTTCTAAATGCTTTCGTAATTTACGTGTACATTCCTTGTGACATGACCTTTCTTTGGGTATCAACATTTTTTACCTTTTGACCTTGGAATTTGACTTGTATTTAAGAAACTTTAACCTTGGCAATAAGCTGTCATATGTGGGCATCAGTGTTTCACAAACACATCTTGTTTTTAAGTCAGCAATAACTGACGAGGGGTTAGTTAGTTGTGTCATGATAGTTAACTACTAACTAACAGACAATGGGTTAATTGATCTATTAGTCAACCAGACACAAACTGATTGGTTAATATCAAAATTAATAGGTTTGATGAGGATTTAGTTTCAGATTTATGAGACATACTCGGAGTTGAAGCTCAACCAAATTTTGTCGAAGTTTATCAGCCTGATCAGCAGCGAGAGCAGCCTCTTTTTCAGCCTGTATTACCTGGCGTTCCGCTTCACTGATTTGTTCCTGAAATTTCAGCAGCAATAGTGCAACAATAATCAAAGCAAAAATAGCAAAAGAAAACATGGCTGAATTAGTGTTAACAAAATAAATTAACTTAAACTTTGGAGTGCAAATATGGGGAATGCAAACCAAACTCAGAAAACTGTTTACATGAAACAAATAAAATGGAATCAAAATTACACAACTACTAAATAGTATATATTCAACAGGTGCCAACATTCAATGGGTATTCTTTACTTTAAGTGTTGAGGATCGAGGTGTATTCTAATACATTATAGACTCCCTGCTGTTATATAATTACATGTACTAGTACTGCAACTCGGATAAAACAACGATTCCTTCACCTCAACAACATTCTAATCAACTAAATTAATGCTTAATATTGAAAACATTCTGTACCATATATTACATGATTTCATTTCATACGAAGCATTTTTTTTAATTTAAAGAAGAATTAGAAATTCAGCATTTGGACCACATTATGCCTCTGGTGTAAGCATATTAAATTCTTAATTCTTCAACGTGTCACAATATTTTTACCCCAAATACAAACACATAAAATCCCAATTACCCAAAAAATAAACACAAGTTTTATGACAAATAAATTGTGCAAATCAATTTTCGCCATCACACATCAAATCTTATTAACAGATAATAAAAAATAAATGGAATCTGAATGGTATGGTGAATTTGTCCAATTTGTACTCAAAACATCAGGGACAGTAATTATGGTGTTAATCTGAGCTAATCAAATCAAAACCTCAGGTTTAATGGTGTCAATCTGAGCCAATCAAAACCTACCTGGTATTGGATGATGTGAAAGGTCGGGGGGTCAACATTGATTGTCTGACGAAGGTCAAGATACTGAACCATTTGGACGGCCATATTGGACATTTAATACTGTATTTATCACAATGTTTATAATTATACAGTAATTGTTATTAATTACTCCTTTTAGAAGAAAATTTCCTTAAAGAAATGTCTCTAATGGTATCAGTCTTGCTGGAGTTGTCTCCCTTGATACTTATAAGAGTTATCTCTCTCAGTTGAGAGAATTCAGTTATTGCACAGTTATCACCCTTCACAAAATTTACATTTTAACAACTTCCTGCACAGCTTTTCAGACTTTTCCACTGTTGACCTGTTTGTTTATTACTGTTTCCACTGTCATTTTATATCAAACTTCATTAAAACAAGTGTACATCACTTGATCTCCTCACTTGTTGTAGAATGTCTTGTGTTCATCACTATTTAGGTCTGTGTATCATATGGAACACCAACATTCACTATAGAATATTTCTGTTACAAATTGCGATACTTTAAAAGTATCAGATACTTCACTTCAAACCTTCAATTAGTACACTCCCATGCTCCTTGAAATTTTAAACCTGATAATTTAAAGATAGATCATTAAAAATTAACATCCTGCCCATTAATACAATTACAGATACGTATCAGTTCCTTTTTTCCATTACGATGCATAAAAATCAAATTTCTCAGTACTGAATGGTAATTTGATGCTTTTTTTTATTTTTTATCAATATTAAATTTTTTTTTTTTTTTTTAAAAAAGCAAGCCTGCTTGTTCACACAAGTAATGGAGTTCTCATTCTACAAGAGAGAGGATATATGATCGCAATATTCATTTAGTAAGTCAATAGCTAACTCTTAATTACACCAAATTACATATTCATTATTAGCAAAACATTTTCTTTTAAACTCTCATCATCAGACATTCTGGTATGTACATCATTATAAAAGTCCACTGAACCTTTAAATCTTAAATTTGTAGGAAAAATGGACAGAAAATTGCCACCCTTTCACTCATACAGGTGGTCTATTCCCATACACCTCTATACACTTCACAGAAGCCAAACATGTCCCCACTTTTACTCAGTATTCAGTCTGATTAATGACCCAGTTTGTAAGATTAAAGATTAAGTCCTCCAAATCTACAGGTGAATTTATACAGAACTCTTAATCTCCACAGAACACTGGGAATTGCTGACTTTCACATTTTGATTTCTTGTTGATCAAACTTCAGATCTACAACCTCAAGTGGAGAAGATAGAACAACTTCAAAAATTGTACCTGTACCTGGCACTTATAATCAATGAACATATGATGATGTTCTTGTTTTAAAGCATATCACTCTTTGGTAGATCATTTTGGAGAAATCACACTCTAGTACTGCTGTCTGGATTATCATTAGTCACTTAGCTTTTACTGTAGTCATTCAAAGATCACGGTCTTGGAACAAAAAAACTATTCACACACTTAAGTCAATCACAAAGTGAGTAGAATTTCCTCTTAGAACTTTTCCTGTAAAAATATTGTAAACATTTGGCTACTTAAAATCCTGACCTTTAATTCCCAAAGCAATTTCAGGTCTGCAGTACGAAATCAAAACAAGAGAAGCTATTTTAAAATATTAAGACATCAGTTTGTACTATAGGCCTCCAAATGAAAATATCACTGAAGACACATGTACCATCAAGACAATACGGAAAGAAATAAATGTAAATATCTACTTCCAAATCTCAAAACACCCAGACAAATAAAATGTAAGGTACACAGACATCAAGACAATTAGGAATGAAATAAATATCTATAATTCCAAATCAACACACCCACATAAATTGAATGTAAGGAACATACACTAAGACAATCCTGAATGAAATATATCAACAGTCACAAAAGTCTAAATGTATCAGTGAACTGCTGTTTTTCTCGTTAGCAGACAGGTTAATTGGACATTTTGCACTAACAGGTGAGTACCTGTCTCTAACACTAATTAAACCTCTGGCTTTGATGGTTACATTGTCAATTAACTTTATAGACAGAGGTTTACCCACTATAACAACCGGATCTCGGTCAAATCATCGGGGTAATTTTACATAAGGACAATGATTTCTGGGTAATTTTAACACTAGGACAATGATCTCCAATAGCATGGAGAGCTTATAAGGTACCTTTCATCTTCCCTAAAACTTAATGTAAGCCAGAGATTAAATTGCTACATAAAGATACAGAGAAGCTGAAGAAGCAATAACAGAGATTGGCATCACCAAGGATATCAGAAAAATATATCTTTGAAAAATGACATGTAAAGAGTGGCTGTACTTTTATAGAGTAGGGAGTGACAAGCATTGTAATAATTAAATGAAATCTTCTTCTAAACCAGGAAAAATTACAACATGTATGAAATGGGTATCTGAGAATTAAAGTAGAATCCCAAATATATTTTCAAACTTACTGAAGTCATAATGTTGGCAGACTCATGTTTAATTAAACAAAGTCAATGAATATATGACTTACTGAATGATATAAAAACAACAACAAAATCAGATCCCAAAAGACCTATCTGTTAAAAAAAGTTAAATCCTTCTGCGAGCTATGAGGCTCATGAGGCCAATGCTTAAAGATGTACCTGGTTCAGTGGTACTAATATAAACAGATGAGAGTCACTGACTCCCCCTTGATGGCTCATCAGTCCATCACAAGTTAACCCCCAACATAAGGTGGTACCCATGGTAGCTGGGAGGACTGAAACAGATAGTGTGCCTTGTCAATGGACATAACAACAGATAGTGTGCCTTGTCAATGGACACACAACATTAAGTGCCCACAGTGGGGATTGAACCAGCGACCTTTGGGTTACTGGCCAAACACCTTTGACAACAGACCCACGTGCTCCACTTAATCACTTACTTGACACCAAGAAATCCAATATATGTTTGGTGACTGAGAAAATATAGGGAATACCCTTAAAGAAAAAGCCATAATTGTCAACTACATGTATAGCAAAGATTCTGATTCAAGCAAGACTATATAACTTGACCTAACTGAAGCCATTACTGAACACAGGTGGAAAAAAATGTTGCTTTTCTTAAGGAATCCTTTTCATTATAACCCTATATTCATTTTAAATATTTTCACCATAAGCAGGTTGCACTGTACTGAAATCCTTATGGGAGGTAAAAACAATGGGGAATCCATAAAGGTTTGTCCCTAATTGTCAGGATACAAAAATAAAAAAGTCAAGCATTTTCTACCCCCTGCCTTACTTGGAAGTCAATAAAATTCCCATTAATATCCCCTGGATTAAAAAGTTTTTGACATTTAAGTAATTAGCTACAGACATAACATTTTAAGTTCACTAAACACAATAAAATGGAATATGTCTGTCATAATATCAGATGACAATCTCTATTGTCTTATCTTGTATATTTATAGATCTAAACATTCAATTAGATTTAAAAGTCCTAAACCTCTGACTAGCACAAGAAATTCAAGCTGCTATTTACAAAAATCATATTAATTAGAGAGAATCATTCTCATTTTTGTCATTTAAATGATAAAAGTCTCAAGTTATAAGTACTAAAAATTAAAATGTCACCTGAGTGTAAATTCTAATCATTCTTTGGATGGTAATTACAAATGTGTAGGAATTATAACTGAATCATGCTTAAATTATGACATTAAAAAAATTCTCCATAAAATGTTTAATCCCCCATTAAAACATTCATCCTAACGTTTTCACTTAAATATGAGTTCTGCGTATTAAATTGGTTTTAAAAAAGCATGATTTTCTGAATCTGTTGAATCCTGCAGCTTGCTTAGATATACATATATTTACTGGGACTTCATCAATGACTCTAGGTTTACTCATACACATAAAAATTGAACTCAGACTCAAAATAAGAGAATTAAAACTCACTTAGCGACTCAATGTTTTAGTTGTGTACTCAGAACTTTATAGATGAGTATATATCTTTCTGAAAATTAAACAGTCTCTCTTTCTTTATATCACATGGCAGTTACATCTTCTAATAGTTAAAATTAATTAAATTTTTAAATTTGGAAGAGAGACATCAGCAAAAAAGTGAGCTAGCCGAAGCCTGAGACCACCATTAATGGGTATTTTAATGAATACACAGAGCAGAATTTCAGTATATCAGATTTCTGTCTCCAGGTAAGAACAGATCAGATATGAACCACTAG